TCAGAAAATCGCTCCCACGTTTTCACGTGACGTGACCGGTCAGCATGTCGTAATATTTCATTAGGAAACGTTGGCGTGCTCCTCAACTAATTGAGGGCAGGGACAACTTTACGTTTAATTTTACGAGTTCCTGTAACAAGACTGGAAATAAGTACCCTTTGAAACACACTGGTGTCCCAAGTCTCTGTTATGATAATGTGATCCCGGATCCATAAGATGATCTTCGTGAAGAACAACTTACGCGGTAGGACGGATCGCATGCACCTATAAAAAGGCAGCAAGTGTCCGTGACAGGGCAGACAGGAAGTCACGTAAAACGGTGAGATTATCTTATTTAACGACCCTTCTCGAACTGAAGAAATTCTGTGGCATCGAATTACAACGACGGAGTTTTAACTACAGAAGTCATATGGGTAGGTACAGACGCAGGTCTAAACTCTGCTAATAAATTTTGTAGCAGCATCCTCACGTGTTCTCAGTTCCTATTCTCGTGTTGAACTACCGTCACATTACGTACACCTTATTTTTCACACGTTTTAAAACTACTGTGATATGTCCATCTTTTGTTAGACTACACGGCTCAGATATGAAGCGGTCTGTATTTTTCCTAAGTCACGATGCTGAACGTTTTTGATGTAACATAACAGGTTACTTTTTTTTTTTTTTTTTTACTAAAATCTGTTACAAGGCTGGAAAATATTTGAAGATTTTAGCAAACACATTTTATACTGCATAAAATGCGTGCAGAAATATGGAAATAAATATGGCTGTCCTCTGGGTTGTAGCGCCGTGTAGTGGGATAAAAGTTTACCAACGTTTCAGAGGTCCTTGCTGCCTCCATCAACAGGGCGATGGATAATTTACAGACGTGATAGTGACTTGGCATCAGTCTAAACATGAAGTCTAACAAAAACTGGATATTTTACAGAATTTAAAAAAAAGCGTGAAAAATTGGGCATGCGTAAAATTGACGGATCTTCAACGTGAAAATGTAGTGGTCTGGAAGAAAACGGCTGGCCTATAGAGAATCTGGAAAACTAAGTAACAACACTGTCAACGAAGAGGTAGACAGATCGGGATTCAAATCTGGTACTGTGGGAATGCATTTCGGCTACATCAACGTATTCAGCGCGAGTATACTGAGCTGAAAGTTTCGCATTAGTCAAAGGAATTCAAAAAGAACAGAAATGCTTCAGGTGGAGTAGCCTTTGCAAGAGGCGGCAAACACCCCATTATCTTACTTGTCCTGTTGGCTCGAGGTCAGCGTGAGGTCGCGGGTGGATCGTGACGCCAGAGTTTGGTGTCGTGTGCACGCTGTGCGTCACGCGCGTGGCTAGCGCACGCTTCATCACGTGAGGCAGACAGACGTGGTTCATCATAACGGGTATAAGAGGTCAAGGGTCAACCAACAGCGAAACAAAAATGTTTCCTGAGTCGGAGGATGAATTACCTTGAGGTAATTAATAACATCCCCCTAAACGTACTTCTCAGATTATAGAACGAAACGTAATCCCGTGTTCTATGATTAATATATTTCCTGATCTTGACGTGTTCACAGTAAATCCTAGAAATCCTACTCGGTGCCTAGCGGATTAAATGAAACATGCATCATTATTATTATTACTCTTAGTACCAAATGGAACCTCAAGTCCTTCCCACCTCACCCATGAGGAAAGAACCCCTGTACTCATGGCTAAGAGGTTTGTTGATCCAGAGATCGAAAACCCAGTTCTCAGCCTGTAGCCTAGTCACTGGGGAGTACAATAATAAAACGGACCTTAATGTACTGAATTTCTTCTCTTTTATATCGGAGTGCAACACTTGCTGCACACATGCATTTTAGTAGCTACAATCATTATATTATCAGGTATATTTGTTGTAGTTCAGGGTTGTAATTCATATGAAAGAACAGGTCTTATTCGTGGGCTGAAAGAAAGTAAGTTAGGAAACGTTAGCATAGCCTAATAACGCTGCTAGCGTCGATTCCCTTATTCGTTTTCGTACACGGGATTCGTGTAAAGTGTACGTTATCGTCAGATTTTAACCAAAATTGGAATCTGTCAACAAACGTCAGCAAAAATTCTCCGATATTACTTTTCATTACAACCCATTCTGTAGTTCTTGAGCTGCTACATGTGGAGAGACTTAGCGAAATTAATATTCATATTTCTTAACATTTTAGTTGAGAACTGGGCAGGAATAACAGGAAGGGAATATCAATTTCCTCCTACAGGAGAGTGTATTTCTGAACATTTTAGTTGAGAACGGGGCAGGAATAACATGAAGTGAATATCAATTTCCTCCTACAGGAGAGTAAACCGCGAGTTATTCTTTCCACTGCCTTAACGCAATTTTATTTAGGTTCGCGTAGTAGTTTCGTTTTGTACGGTTTTTGTGTTTTTCATTCTGCCATTGGTTTCGGACTTGCACTGCGTTCGGAAAACTTCTGGTAATTCTGGTGAGGTCAAGAGGAGTTTATGGGGTCGCGCCTGATGACCCGGTGTTGCTTGTGCGGCGGCCGGAGCCCCAGTCCAGATAACGGTCACGCCTTGCAATAATTGGCCCGAGCGGCTTTGTGCGTGAGAAATAGGCGCAGAGGTCATCCGGACTTGATTTACGTGCTGTTCTCAGAGTTAATGAATGGACTGCAAAGGTAGTCATCAATAAATATCAATTTAATAAATTTCTTTCCCTGGGCTTAAAGGTAACAGGCAGTACAGTCCGTTTGAAAAATGTGTGCAACACAGAACGGTTAACAATCACTTTGAAACGCACATTTTTAAAAATAAAAGTATAATTCAGTCTCTTCAATTCGTAAGTGAAATGAACATGGGCATGTTTTATGTTACAAGAATGCATTACAAAAACCCCTAATTCGAAAGCAAAATCGAACTATTTTTTTAGAGACAGTTCGTATTTTGTTCGTCGGGATAACTCGGGATGGTTTCCATAGAATGGATGTCAGGTGTTCGATTCCCGACAGGGGGAAAGAATTTCTCCCTTCGCCACAACAACCATACAGACTCACAATCTGTTTACGTCACGTAAATAATAACACAGCCGTTTAGCGGCTCAATTTACACCTGGGTTTAAATGCTTTCCTCGGTACATTCTTTTCATTAGGTCTGAATGTAATTTAAGTTCTTCCATTAGACTAAGAAACACTTCTCACAGCCATGCAGAAATGGGTAAAATTATTGTTTTGTGTGTCTCAATTCGTAGTGATTTGGTAACAAGACGAAAAGATATAGGCCTAGCTTCTTAATTCAAGTTTTCTCGTGTTACTTTCCTCTTTCTTGAACCGTGCACCTTCTTTAAACATAAATATTAGGCCTAGGAGTGTAGAGGCATCTAATTCTTTGGTATAGTCTCCATAATTCAGATAATCACGAGTTCCCTAGTCTTCCAGGCTCTGACGTCGTGCAGACTTGCAGGTGATTCGGGACGTTTTGAAGGAACGTATCACATCTGCAGGACGAAATTTATAAATAGAATAGGACGTTTCACATTATCCTGAAAGAGGTTTAATAAAACATTCTGTGCAGTAACAACATCTTTCCACCTCTTCCGCAAATGAATGCGCAAACACAATAATATGCTGAACTCGCTTTACCCTGAAGATGGAAGCGATAAGTTCCACCGAAACGTTGGTAACTACGTACAAGACCGCGCGGCGTCACAACACAGAAGACCGACAATGACATCTTCACCGCCGCGACAACTTCGAATCCCAACGAGTTTCCGACGTTGCGGGACTCAAAATTTCATCAAAGCGCCATGATCGGCCACACATTTTAATGTCATTCTCTTATTTCATCAAAGCGCCATGATCGTCGCTGATCACTTTCTACGGGAATTCGGCCACACATTTTAATGTCATTCTCTAATCTATGCCTGTAACTAATTGACTTCAAATACTGAATACTTGGCAGCCACAGATTCACAGCCGCATTTGAACAAGCCAGGAAGCGAAAGTACGTGACATGAAGTGTTAGAGGAATTGTCGAAACTTCCAACTTTATGAACAGAACAGGACAACTGTTTCACATTACCCCGAAAGCGCTTTAACAATGATATTCCTTGCAACAGTAATAGCACCCCTCTAACTCCACCCCGCAACTTAATGTGTATACACAATAGTTTGTGGAACTTCACTCGTGTTCTGGTCGGCGACTCACGGCATTAAGCGACACGACTGCTGGTTGCTATGGTGATTGCTGACTGCGATGAAACACTCTGGTATGGATCATTTAACGTGCTATGTATCACGATCTACAGTTCCCGGATAAAGAACGCTGTATCACGCGCGATGCAAACATTTTGTTCATTGAGAGTGATTAAAAGTTCCACGTTCTCGACGCACTTCTTTCGAACCTGACAGGAACAAAAATACGTATTGTAATACAGTACACTGTTTTTTCCTGTCTGACGTAAAACTGTCAGGCAAGAGTCATGAAAATTCTTGAACCTAAAAAAGTGCGATCAATAAACAATAAAAACTTTATGAATGATTTCCACGAACACTACTGGAGCATCAATCTTCTAAAATTATATTGATTCCCGTATTGCACGGGTTATAATTTCGAATCAAATAAATTCACCCACACACATATTCAGTAGGAGTAATAATTTTATTCTGAACCCAAGGGAGCTTATCCAAAAAGGAGAAAAAAGGGAGTTTTGTGCTGAAGAAAGTCGTGACTTATAGGCCTGTTATTCTCGTACTGTTGTTACATATTGTAGTTAAATAAAAACTTTTAGTTTGGATTTAAAAGTATCTCAGATGGGAAGAAGGCGACTGCTTATTATACTATTTTTTGACAAATCTCTTCCAAAGTGGGGGTTGCTGATTGAATTTATCTGGCTCTGGATAGGGGTCCATTGAGAGCAGCACAGGTTTCCGAAAAGTTCCGGAATACATTTTATAATAAACGAAGAATTTATCTATGCCTGTAAGAGAACAGATAAACTAAAGTAGGTTAAAGCAGAAGTGTACTTACCGACTGCAACAGAAACTGAAGGCGACCACCATACATTTCGCTCTCACAAAAACCTGAAACAAGTGACGGAAATTTATGTCAGGAGCTTTTTCGTGGTATTATTACAAATAGCTTTACATTCTAAAAATCCACGGAAAACTGATTTGTCCTGTGTGACCTTCATAACAGTTTCTCATCCCTAAGGGCGTCACGAGTGTGTCAGCGATAACAACAATAGCCATGAGATGAAAATGCTTCGGTCCAGCGAGAACGTATGTAGTAATAAAACTATAACACACGGCTCACTGGATCTCTCGCGTCCCCCCTGCATCCAGCGTTGAAAGCTGACGAGATAATCTTCGAAGCACTGACTCATTCATGCCAGGGATGACCATCTTATGTGGCACAAGCCTACGGATATTTCGCCCTTGGCTCCTGGATCACTGTAAGTTTTAACAAGCCTACAGACCTACTGTAAATGCAATACAACTTACAACTGAAATTTGTTTGCCAAGTTTTGTCCATAACGGTTTCTGTCTTATACCGAAATGCCCCGTGACAAAGCACAGTTGTTTATTTCCACGCACAAAGTAGGTAACGGTCTACGCGTGTTCCATAGTCTTTTTCGTACTCGGGAGGTCCCACGTGCGATATTCGCCAAGGGTCCCGAACTTCGGAGTTTTGCTCAGCCCTTCAAAAAATTGTAGCAAAAACCCCTTGAAGTGGACCAAGACAGGTTTTCTCACACATTCAATTCATCCCCCCCCCCTCAACGCTGTATGACCTGCGCATTTTTAGAAAGCGTCGTTAAACAACTCAGTTACCAATCAACATATGATTCTCAGAATCAGAGTGCATATCACGATCTAATCTATCTACGAGTAGTATGGGCTATGTTGAACGCAGTTTTCAAATTATATTTTGTCCTCGATATTTGTCTAATCATATTCCTGACAGGTCTTTCAACTACTGAAGCAATTTGTTGGTTTTGGCGATATTTGATATGCGCAATCTTTATTGAAGCTTCCACAGGTCATGAAACTGGGCTTCAAAATCCAAAAGCAATGACAAAACCTTTAATGAAGGAGAATAATGAACTGTTAATACGTTCTTTTTTTAAAATTTCAATGTTTCGTGAAGAATATTCACTGTAAAGTTCCCTGCTTTGTAATTTACTCCTTCTCCTAGCTTCAAATATTCTGCTAAAATAAAATTTGAGATTCTGACAATGGTAAAGATGACGATGATGTTCATCTGACTTGTGACGCCATGTAGAATCGTAAGTAGAGACCAAAACGTCGGAGAAACATACTGCCTCCATCGTCAGGCTACGAAATGAGACTACATGGCGTCGCAACCTAAAACAACAACAATATCTTCTGTTGAACTCTGTTCTGAAGCATTCGCATTACCTGGTCTTTTCTCAGAATAAAAGAATGCCTTTCGCTCATCAATACAAAATAACAGTTAAAGTTGTGGGATAGGTATTTTAAGTTCTAGTATTCGGAAGGAACGAAACGTAGATATTTGAAGTTCTAGTATTCGGAAGGAACGAAACTAATTCTAACAATTCCACGGTACATAATGTTCCTTCGTAGGCAACTGTTATTCCGCTGGCCACAAAATTTCCAGAAGTTTCGTCACCATATTTACAGAAACTACAATCGAACCAGCTAAACGCAATCCGTAACTTCGTACCCTATCTCTCAAACAGCCATTTGCATTCTATCCTCCCTTTTACTCATACGTCTCCCAAATGGTTTCTTTGCCTTGATGTACCAGTAGCCAGCCTATTGTAATGTGAATTTATTTCTCATTTCCCCCATGTGACCTACACGCCCTCGCCTGTTTAAACAGCCATAAATAAAACGTTTCTGGAAACATTACGTGGGAATAAGAGTTCTTTGACTTTTAACAATTTCACGTACTGTTTTTTTTTTTACAGACAACTGCATTTTTACATTCAGTTATACCTTTGCTGGTGTATGCCCGAAGCAGGTGGAAGCTACATCAAAAAGTAATATTTGATGCGTAACCTCTTCCAGAACCAATGCAGGGCGTGTATCAAAGGACACGTCCTATGAAGGAAGTGCGGTCAGTACGCGAGTGTGGAGTATGGTCACATCGCCTGGTCACTGACCTGGCTCCGTGGTGTGACGTAGGCTACTTCAAACCATTCGTGTGACAATAATTGGTAGGTCTGTTGAGCGGTATAGTCTATCGCAGTTCATTAGGCGCAGACAGAGGTTGTAACTAACACCACGGAACAGAGTCCTTCTCGAGAACCTGCATGTAACTAACACTACGGAACAGAGTCCTTCTCGAGAACCTGACAGTCCTTCAGCTTATGAAAAAATCCCTCGCCTTGGAACTAAAAGATTCGTTACCGTGATCACAAGAGCTTGCCACCTGTCCCTATCCTAAACCACATTAATCCAGTTCATACCCCTCCACCCAACACCATTAAAGTATCATTAGTGTTAATATTATATATCTACAAATATTATTTAAATAGTTGTCTAAATATTTTAAGAGAATTTGGGAATGGTCTCTAGGCATAAATAGAAACGCACGAGAGCGATGTTAATGGTTGAGTAGTTATCAAAATCGTTTGTCTGTTAGTGTGTGCGTGTGTGGTGAAACACATTCTGCACTGGCATACCTATATAAGTCTAGTCTACTCGAGAGATCCAATCTGACTATCAAGATTTATACTTTACTTCTAAATTAAAACACATTTTAATAAGTAAAGTTAAATGTCTCCTGATGGGTACTCATAGAACATGACGCCATATAAATTCAGTGTTACATATAAAACATTCGTATTGGCGGTATTTAAATAGAAGCTGGGCAAAAACACGTAATGTTACAGAGAGAGACGTTACAGAAAGGTTATTAGAGATACAGACTGTTATATTTTTTAATTGCTAAATGTTATCAGCTTTAAGACAATTGAAAACAAACGTTAAGTGTCGCATCATTTATTTGAATATGAAAACAAAGCCTAAACATTAAGAACTAACGCTGTTTATTGGCGTATGGTGCACCTCAGTCTAGAATTGAGCTGTGTTCAATATAAGATAAAAATAGAAAGTAAGAAACGAAAACGCATATAACAACGTAAAACTCTGTATTGTCCAAAACAACAGCTTCTGTGTAAGGTGTTTAAATTAACAGAATATTGATTAAACTAATACGAATTTCCCTTGAACTTTTCTTAAACCTGTAGCACCAATGGGAAACACAAATAAAAATATTTACTTGAATGACTCATTAAAAATTATCACTTCTGAGAGCGAGAAGTGAACGGAGGATAATACTACACGAAGTTACGAGAACGTACAGCGACGACACCAACTATTGTATTCTTCAACGGCTCACAACAGGCTTCAACGATAGGCTTTAGTGACGACGGTGACGAATCTTCGAGTTTCATATCGATACGTTACTTCCTTACCAGATTAACAGTAACAACCGGCTCAGATGTTTGCTAGATTTGATAAAACTCAACACAAAGTGAAGCTTAATAAGAAAGTTTCCTTCCGTACTGCCTCAAAATTAGCGCATTTCTCTTTATAAGGTATGTTCAGTGTATCATTATATGCGTGTGACTGATTATACCACCGCCCTCTGAGATGAACGATTGTTTGACAGTCGTTCATCTTCGGAGTCGATTAGTTGAAGTTGTACACACGATTTTCGACAACCGCATATAGGTCCTGGTACACTGAAAGACTCCAAGGGACGCATAAATATCCACGTCGCTTGTCAGTTTAGGGTCATGGGGACGAATGTTCTGTCAGCAACCTAATGCAGCACAGCGTTCAGGTTTATCGAATATACAGGACCACAGCTTGGTAATTACTAAACAAATACAAAATATAAAACCAAAGAGGGGAACTGCATTCAAATATGGTGTACCCAAACACATTACGGCTACCCAAATATAAATCATCTGTGTGGCAAATCTGTTCTAGTGCCATGACCGTGCTTGTTCATGGGACATGGACAGCGTAGGTCTGCGTCTCAGTTTATGCATCTAGACAGCCATTTCAGACTGTGGAACTTTTTCAGAGATCATATTATTAGGTGTATATATTAGCATCCTGTTGCTGGTTAATTCGCGAAACGCTATGTAAGACTATAAACCCGTCGTTTTATGTATACTTAACTTTTAACAATTGTATAATAACTGTAATTACCTGATTATTACAAGAGACGTAAAGATGCAGAAAGAAAGACAAAACCTAGGAAGGAAAGAAGCCCTTTGCCGATACAGATTGAATCAGGAGACATACTACCTCCCATCTACATCGGAAATCCCTTGCGATCGTAGCTGATTAAGTTACAGAATATAAAGCGCTCTCAAAAATCAACGTCGACTCCAATTTAGGACTTGTGCAGGGGATATACAGGATACAACATCAGAGAGATACACTCTTTAACACCAAGTTTAATGTTTAACAAATACGTACTTATGATGTTAAGAATTGCATAAAGATGGAAGGGTTCACAGGCAAAGTTGCTGTTTTGCTGTGATGAGCCCTCGGATTACGTCATATCAGGAAATACCAACTGTTTTTAAATTGCAATAAACTGCGTTTGCTGTCACCCTCAGATGTTTTGCCCGCGATAGTTTGCTGTTGTGTTAACTCATCAATAACAATCAGCATTGCAGGTAAGCACTTATAAACAAAAACCTAATTCACTTTGTAACAACCCTGCACTGGCTGTTTACGCATAACTTACACTTGGTGATAGGTAGACGGCTTCTTACAACAATCATAATTGCTTCTCTCCAACAATAATTAAAATCGATTCGTCAGAGGATGAAGAAATATCACACGAAATTTTAACAAGTGGAATTTACAAACCCTCTCCTATTTACATGAGTTCTAACGGAATATTTATTATACTGTCACACCGTCTGTTGGAAATGTTATTTATTTGTATTATCAGTCACCTATTATTATACTTTCACACCGTCTGACACAGCGTCTGTCCATGAGGCATACCTTATCACTGAGGATCATGGTTATTCTCTAACCTGATTCTTGGTTGGTCTCAGAGTAAA